GTCTATCTTATGAAAACAGTGGTACGGTTTTCGTTCGAATGGAAAACAACGCAGTATGTTTTCTTTTCTAGTTTAATGATTAGCCTACATTTGCCTAGTAGACTGGTCGACAAAACAAACGAATTGACCTTGTAGTGAGTAATTTCTGCAAGCTCTGACAAAACTCTTTTCTCTCTATAACTTCTGCGATATTCGATGAGATCAAATCCTCATCAGAGTGTTCCAATTTTTTGAATTTTGTAGCGGTTTTAGTACCCCAAGTTGCAGCAAATTGTCGTGTTCTCCACATATTTGATTAGCTTTGTCATTATAATGATTCGCTGCACTTTTTTGCTTTTCCTTGAGGCTAGCTGTAAGTGCAATTGACAATTACATGTACGCAAACCAATTTCTTCTTCGTCTAGCAGTAGCAGTTTGAATCGGTCTGGACCAGTGGCGGAAAAGAAAATTTGTTTTGGTGTGGAGTGAGTGTAACCGACTATCAGGGAAAGGTCTTTTGAGCATATTTCGAGCTCATCGTTGGTGCTAGATTTCATTCTAAAAGTGACTATCTACAATCTTGACAGAAAGCCGTAGTGAATCTTTTCGAATGTTGTGGGATTGGACTGTGTAAATATGCGACATTTTACAGCAGTTTGAAAATTTCACTTTTCCTTCTTGTGTGTCCCCGTGTGCTGCAATGATTGCAGAGCAATTCTAACTTTTTCAATGGCGAAAATTCTATGCTTCCTAAATGTTTTATATGGTTTGAAAGTATTTCCCCAGCCTATTCCATATTTATCAGATTTCATTATTCATCGTTAATCAAGTCACGTATGTGTCTTTCTTCAATCCGTTTCTCTTTATTCCACCCTCTTTCCTTCCCCATATATCTGCATCCTAAGTCTTGAAAAATGAGAGTGAGCACCCTGACGGTTCTGCTATTTTGGCATCAGATTTTCGTCTTAATGCGAGCGTTGATAGCCTCTTTCATGCTTTTTTTAGCGTCAATACAGCATGGAAATGAGCATGCTTTTGCAGCATTATGTGCACTTTTTACTAACAATATGGCGTCAAAAGGCCGGCGGTTTTTCTCCAGCTAACAATAAGTCCGCTCAACACAATCATTCAGTCAAACTAGGTTTTCCACCTCGGCGCTGTTACATATTATGCAAAAACGTCTCCATAAGCACCTTACTGGTTGAAGATTTTATGTTTTTGTTCAATAATTTGTCATATTCATGTGATTCCGGGAAGGATTCCAAAAAGTGGAAATTGATTCCGAGGATTCCAAATTAATACCAAGTAAAACAGAGACATTAACACTCTCTACAATTTTTACTGTCCTTCTGCAATCTCAAACAATAGTATTCCATTAGAATGAGGTCATAAAACACTACACGAGATAACCTCATTTCTCAGAAAAATTTTTGGATAGTGAATTTGTAAGTATGATTGATATAAGCATAAATTTCTGCAAAGTTGTGAAAATGTACCTGTGACTTATTCCTAGCATCAAAACAATTAAACTCTATTAAAATGTGGGTTATTTCAGTCGAACAATATTTTCGTGGTTACTCATGCCTCATTTCTTGAAATCTTGGCTTTATGAATTCGCAAAAAATTTTCCAAGTAACATTGGAAAGTTTCGCCCATCCACGCTCTGCTTTTGGAATTCTCATGCCCCCCCCCCATTCAATACTACTGAGACCTTCATTGATGCATACCCCTTTTAACGTTTTTGCCACTTTTCAGTTTTTCACACTTTTGCAGGAAAGGGGAGTATTATTCAAATAAAGTAAAGTACGATACGATAAAGTTCCAAATGTAATTTTATCCTGATTAATGAAAGCACGACCCCGATAATCTTCCTCATTTCCTTTCTTCTATGGATCTATTTTCTGATAAAACTGCTTTTTTGCCTAAGCTAGATACAGTCCATTCGCAGAAGCTAGTATCTTGCAGCAACCATGTAAAAATTCTCTATCAAAAACTGATACGCAAGATTTATATCTCCAAGTACCTTAAAGGCCTTTCTTCTGTCATTCTGCAAAAATTGTGTTATTGTGCAGAAGATATTGCTTGTTAATAGGATGTTGTGTACAGCAAGTAATGATGGGTATACGAGGGAAAATGATGTTTATGGGCAGTTATGCTGTGTCTGCACATGTATTAACCACGATACAATTGGGTTCTAGAGCAATGTATTGCTCTAGTTCGCCTTGTTTTATCCCTCGTTTTATAGCAGTTTATAGCACGATTAGTCATCAGATTATCAAAGGACAAACTTCAAATTTCATCAAGAATGGAAAGTTTTGCTCGTTCTTTTTATAAGCGGAATACCGTGAATAATCGGTAGATCAGATAGATACGGTCCTTAGTGGAAATAAAAAAGCTCCCATAGTCTCTTTGTCAGTGTAAGTGCAAGAGAGTTTGATCAGCTGGTCAATGACTTTCGAGGCCTTGAAATTCTCCCCTTCTGCCCTGCCTATTTAATTAGAGTTGAATTAATTAGCACATGTGGGCGCTCTTCATGTGATTAGAGCGAAAGAGTGTGCTGTGATCCGTCAACTATCTAAAAAACTCCTGATTTCAAAAGCCTCGAAGACAATTTTGTTGGCTTTTTGGGGTAACAAAGAAGGATTTTTTTAGTCCAAATTACCTAGAGAAGCTTGTGTTTTCACTATACTCTTTAAAGTCTTGTTTTTGGCCCGTGTAGGATAAACTTCAGTGAAAAATAAGTTCTGGAAAAGTAACAGATAATCTGGAGAAAATAAATTATCTCCTTGTCGTATTGAATGGGGAAAGAAATTAGATTAATGGATTCTGAATCAGGTGTTGGGTCATACCGGTTCGTTTTTTTTCCTCTAATGAGTGTGTTTATCGCCACGGATATATTAATCATGTCTTTCACTCCATTTTATTCATTTGGTGCCGCCATTGCCCTTTCTCGAATCTTTGTTTGAAAATGAATATTTTCACACAAAGTGTGAGCTCAGCTGAGTTCAAACTCACACTTGATTCATTCTTTTGTTACTATGTGTTTGCTTTGACGCCATTTCGAAACCAAATGTCTGAAAACGAGACTAAACATCGATTCGCAAAAAAAGATGCTGAGTTGTTTCCTGCGGCATCACAGGAAATCTGCGAACAAATCTGCTTGAATCCCGCCTTAAATCGCTTTTGGCTGCCTATGCTTAAGTCTATAAACAACACAAACCATCTAGTGTATGGCCCCTATCGATTACTGCATCTGGTTTTTCAGAATTTCGAATTTATTTGTTCGCTCGTTTTATTATGTACTTTGTTCACTACTGATTAAAAAGACATTTTTGTAATTTTCTGCTATATCATTTGGCCTGAACGGACTGATTGGCTGAGCTTGCCGAGCTTTTGGGCTCTTGCTACCCGGTTCATACAAAAACAAGGCTAAAATGTTGAAGCTGATGTTTTATCATCGAATCTTAAGACTCAAGTGCTCCGTCGTATTTCTAGTGTTGTCTATTGCTTCACATACATGTCTGCTAGTATCACTACCTTACCCAACTTATTTTTTCTTTCATTTTCCATTCTTCTTTTGCCTTTTTTAGAGCTTGTAAGGTGTCCTAAATCTTCTGTCTCAAAATGATGGTATCCTGATCTAAAGAAGCCAGTTTCGCTGCGTTACCCAACTGACCTTTTTCTTTCACTTTCTATTCTTCTTTACCTTCTTCTCTAAGCTTGTCAAGTGCTCTAAATTACGCTTCTTTCTGGAAATGTTGTAGAGCACACTGAGCGCACCAGAATAATTTGATGAAACGGCTGTTATCCTTTGTGATTGAATCAACAACTCTTTTGGAATAGTGATTGTGTTCTCATATATTCTCATATCTTAAACCTGGACATTTTGGGAAGTTATCCTTGAGTCTTCTGGCCCAAAATGATGACTGACATAGTCCTGAGATTCTGAAAAATCATTAGAATTATTACCAAAAAATGAGGCCAGAAGAAACAACTACCAAACGATACCTGTGCAGCATGAAAACCTCCATGATATCAAATCTGCAAAACTATTATTGAAGAAAATTATTTATCGCACTACGACGTTTTCGTCGCGATAGTTACGTTTCGGCAGAGTAGATAAAAGCTTTCCGACTTTTGAATATCTTAGCTAAATGTCAACACTAATGACTCGTTAGTTTCTAAAATTCTCTATTAAAAGTTATAACATTACGAAGAGCGAAAGGAAAACCTTTCGCAATACGTGTTTTGTAAGAGTTAGAAGCCCAGTTGCAGCTGTTGGCACGGATTTCAATCGTTCCGTGTTCTCCAGGCATTCCTTCCTAGTAGACTCCTGAAAATCGTGAAAGTGGCTTTTTCCGGCCCTTTTAAATCTTTTTTGATTTCTTATTAGGCTTCGCCCTTACCTCAAATGCAATTTCGTTAAAGTAGAAGGTTTGAAGAAATGTTCCAAACTTTCTTATACTACCAATACTTTCCAATGAATCCAAACCACTAGGTGTTCTGAGGTCGTTTTGAGCGCAGTTTACAGTTGAGTTTTATGGCGGATGAGGATCACTTGAATCGTGTCTTGCTCCCATTGTTTGGCTTACTTCTAGCCCATATCATAGGCCTCTTGAAAGTGTAATCTGCCTAAAGAAAAGTGCAAGCGCCTTAACAAGAAATTGCGTCGATGAGATTGCTAGTGCTTACGTAGATTTCCATATCGCCATTGGGCATGTCTTCTTTCCAAGTGGCATTCTTCAACTGCGTCTATGTTCCAACTTCAACCTTAACTCACTGTTTATTTGTCGAAATGCTTAGATCAGTCGAAGAGTGTGGCAGAAAACTCTATTTTTACAGAGTTTTTGAACCCCATTTAACAATATTTGCATGACTATATAGGTTTCGAGAAGACGAAAGCATGTCTTTTTGAGTACATTGCGCAGATCGTAACAAAATCTGCTAAAAATGCGAAAAGGTCGGAATAATCCGTCACTGTCACATGTTTAGGTATTAGGACCTTTTCTTTTGGAACCGTAAAAACGCTGATTAATTGCCTCCAAGTAAAGTTGCGATTGGCGAGAAATGTGACAGAAAATTCAATTATCATTCTTTTGAGAATATGTATATGCAGAAAATACTACGATATTTCTGTAAAAGAAACATGACTTTTGCCAGATTATTTCTATACATTATTGCATTGAATTTACAGAAAAAAATTGCTGCAGACTTTTGACTTGAATTTGATTATTCGCTTGCACTGTCATAGACAATAGAGCAGGTGAATTAGAGTGTACGCATGCATAGTACTTCCCCTTTTTATCCCAACTACGGTAATGCTAATAATGAAGTGAAACTCAAAGAAACAAAGAGTGACCTGCTATTCTGCAGCTGTGCGTGCTGGAATTCAGCAATAGTAAAGTCTTGAGTCCAGCTTACATGTCTCAGCTGTCTTAAAGGTTGTAAACCTAGTCAAACATAACCAGTTTTCTGAAGTTTTCTCAACTTTGCGCATGATTGTTTGGTTTACAAGTGAATTTGACCTTCACTCGAATTCATATTGATGTACCAAAAAATTACGCAATTTATGCCGAATGGACTGTGAATCGCGAAAAACGTAAGAACTTCTTAAAGACTCAATCGTAAAAAGATATCTAGCACAACTTCCGAAGCAAGTACTAGAAGATGAAGTAAGTGGGAAGATATTGCTTGTAGTTTTACTGGAATCAATATCTTACCATAATCCTGCTTACGCCTCAGTAATGTCCTTAGCTCTTTCTGAGAATGTGATCATGCTCGTAACCATAAGATCCCTGCTTGAGGAGAATAAACGCGTTCGATAAAAGCGAAAAATAACCTCTAAAATATTTAGTTAAACTTATTCTGCACCTTCATATCTCTTTGTTATCGTTTCGATTCAGCCCTTCATTGTTTTTCAGTCTCAATGTCATTTCAATGTGATTGCTTTGGAAAAGGGAATCCACACTTTTTTTTCCTCGATCTCTTCTCGGAAACTGAGCAGTGAATTAGCGTGTAAAGTTGCGCTTAAAGAAACGCTCAAGGCTAACGGCAGAATTTCGTAGGAAATGTCTTCTTACATTCACTTTTCGCTGAAAACCTGTGGGTGCTGATGTAGAATACTACTAGTTACTCTAAAGTACATTTTGACCTCTATAATAGTGGATTTCCATTTCTTTCTTCGTTTGTTTATCAATGTAAAATAGTCTGCCTTTGGCTCTTATAAGGCCATGTTTTAGCAGTAAAAAACTTTACACAAAATTTTACGCAGTTGAGGAATATTAATCGCAGTTTCTTTTTTTCCAGTTCTCCAGTAAATCACTGGATTTGCATGAAATTACCGATTTCTAGGAAACTCATTGTTGGTGCTTTGGAAATGATTATGTCAACATTGTCTCCACGCAGCTCTCATGCAAAAACAATTTTGCAGCTTCCACATAATCCAGTGGATTCTCACTTATTTGCTTTTCGCTGCAGTCCCTCCGCTTCTCAACAGCCATATTATATTACTGAAATGTGAAGAAAAAGGCTGCAAAAATAGATTTCAAGTACATTTTTTGAAAGAAATCTTTTTGACACGCACGCTTGCAAGAAAAGTCGTGAATAAATTTTGTTTGAAATAAATTCCATGCTGTTTTTCATATAATCGCAATATGTCATTAATCATTCTCTTCCACTTGGAGCCAATCTTTCCCTAAGGCGTTGTAATTGTCACGCTCTGGTAACCCTTTTCTTCAGCCCACTTTTCTCAGACGAAGAATAGAGTATGATAAACAAACTTTTAACAACTCCAATATCATCTGGTGTTATGGTTTCAAAATTCCCTTTCTTTTGGCCCATTTTGAAGCAAGAAATCACATGTGCAGTTCCACTATTCCAGATGTCCATCATGGATTCGGAGGGGCTTTCGACAGGCGAAATGGTCGGTCTCACCGAAACCATCGACGATCGAGACGCCCTCGGGAAATGGATGAAGCAACCGAGGAATCTTGGTGGCGGGTGAGTACTCACTTTTGTTTCCCACCCTTCCTTTTCTTTAGTTTCCTTGCTGCACTTAGTTTAGACTTGATTTCATCTCATTCTGAAGCATCCGGTCCGTTGCAATTTTCCTATGCATATGAGATCCACATTCAGATTACACTGGTCACATAATTTCTATCTACCAGGTTCGAAGAAAGAGTTTTGTTCCATCCTTGGATGATACAGTCTCAATGCATTTGCTTGATTCCTAGATTTATTAGAATAGAAGCTTTGCAGCACATTCCGAAACCAAAGCTTTCTTGCCTCTATAAATGCATTTTTTGTGAGCTATTTGACCATTACAATAATCAGCCAAATTTGCGAGCTATTGTGTCTGATCATCTTTGACTGATAATGTAATATTGCTCAATTTTCGTACAGGGAAGTTAGTGTAATTTGTGGAGACAGCGTTGTTCCATACCTTGTTAGATTGCTCGCCGTTGAAAAAATGATCATTCATGCCAACAAGGACTTTTTTGAGTTAGTAGTTTAATAGAGGCTGTCCTTACAATACGCAACATTCCTCTCATTTGAAAACATTAGGGCGAGAAATTTCATTTTGACTTTTTTTTCTGTTAAGGAGCCTACGCTCGTTTAGATTATCATGATTGAGAAGATTTCAACTACTAGAAAGCTCTAAGCTATGAAAAAAATCGTTCGTCGTAAATATTGAAAAACTTTTGATAAGATATGTTTTTTGTATGCGTAGGCAATTTCACAAAGCACGTGAGTGTCGGGCTTCGATTATGCTGAATCTTATCTCGTATATAAAGCATTGAATTTACTTCTCCAATGAAACAAGTTTTCCATTCTGCCATTTCTTTCTTTCTCGAATCGCATTTTTTTCAAACACAGATAGACTCAGTAGACAAAATATAAGTCTAGAAATATGATTAACGTTGCCAAATCTAATGCTCTCAGCTTTGTCGACTACCCAGATGTTTAGTTTAGTCATGTGTTTTCCTTCGCTTCGAACCATGCACACGGGATATTATTTCGCTTTCTCACAAACCAACCGGCGAACTTCTAAATTTAAAAGTTCACGATTTTCAGACGGAGGGAACAGAACTCAACGAATTATTTTATCGAAAGTGCTTGTAGGGGTTTTCTGAATGGGGGTTTTTGATTTCTATCATTTTGCGGAGCTAATACGTGCACAAAATTCCGAAATAAAAACCTTCAACGTCGGTAGATTAGTTTAGTTTCGTCCTCATTTATCCAAAAGTGCACAGTCTCAAATATACTGACACTTATTTCAAATAAGCTTCGTATAACGCTCACTCAACTTAACGCTCGTTAACTTTCTTAGCTCTTGCTTTTCAAATTTACTGGTAATTTTTTTTAAAGTATTAGAAAACTTTATGACCTTTTAGTGAGCCAAACAGCGCATAAGTCTTCTCGAGCAGTAAGTGCTTTTTGTTCGGTGCTGCGAAATTTTACCTGCGATAACATGAGAAGTAAATCTCAGCTGTCTCCGGACTTTTCTTTTATTAGATTGCTTGCGTCGGCTGTCATGGAAAATGATAAATACTATAATCAGGGAGATCCCATGAGATCTTCAATTTAATCAGACTTGGATGCTGCTAATAAGCTTAGATGATTTGAAAGAGGATTAAGAAGCACAATCTAGAAATGTTTAACCAAAATTTTTCTTCTATATCATTGCGTCTTCAAATTAATTGATGTATAATAGTCTCTTTTTTCCATCATTCAAAAGGCACGTTAGGTACACAAAGTATGGGAAAAGGAAAAAACTTTTTCAATGAAAAAAGCTATTTTTCAAACAGTCTCGCCAAACCTGTATTTTAGGCCACTGAAACAATCTTAGCATCATCTTGTAATATAGATGACCTCACGTCATTTACTTCGTTTTTTTCTTAAACTATTCGATTTTTGATATCACGGAATCCTAAAATGTGAGTGGATAATCAAATTGTTGAATGAGTTGTGAAAGCATATCAAATGGGAGCAATCATGATTTTCTGGCTTATGACGCAATCTCAGTCCCTGAGTGTGTAGCATCAAATCAGATAGTTAACCAAGTTGCATTCAAGCTTTCTTGCCTTTGTAAAACATTTTCCTTTCGACTTATATGACCAACACAATAATTAACAAAATTTGTGGGCTATTCTCGTGTGCCTGAATTTCGCTTAATAATGCAGTAGTGCCACTTTCTCGTACAAAAATAGAAGATAGCGTAATTAGAGGACACCTTATTATTTCCTAAATTGCTCGGCAATGGGAACTCATTCACTCCAGCGAAAAACTTTTTATCTCATTTTTCGGTTGAAATTTGACCATGCAGTACTCTAGAGGTGCTTGTGTTAGAGACCGCTGAAGAGCAATTTTTTGAATACGATCTTAAATAGCGATAGTAATCAAGTTCAAAGCTAGTCACTATGCAGAGAAATTTTATATAGACTCTTTGAGTTAAAGACTCTATCTTCTTAATACGAATGACCCTCGGCTATGCTAGTAAGTATGTGGTTGAGTTTCAAAAATATAGGACCGATTGAAAAGACTTCAATTACTTTTTCCAAGGTTGCGACAAAACGTTCGTATATTCCAAAAGCATAGTTTTTTTTTCGAAGCATCTCGAAGATTACGAAAGCGGAAGTGTTCAATTATCCGTTAATAGTCTTTTTTAGATCCATTCATTTTCCTTAATCGTCTCTCCCGCCATTTTGGAAAGGGCAACTATATTTTTATGTCAACTTAGAAGACATCAAATATTATCCGTTAGAAAACTACCGGATTAGCTGCCCACGACCGAGGTTGGTAAAAAAAATCCAACCTTTTTATTGCAAACTGCATCGTCACCATCCATAATTGCACGAATCCGAGGTAGGCGGAGTGCATATCGAAGCTCTTGGGCGATTTGACTCTAATTAAGAAGTGTTTTTCAAGTAGACGCAAGCATTGACGTAAGAAGCCCGTTCCTCACACGGATACCTCGCAGCAGTAGGGATGAAGTTTCGGCATTAGGACCGAATAGGTGTCCTCAATACACAGAGTTGTAAGCCCTAAAAAGATATAGTCCCTGCCCAAACAAAACACAACACAGATACAGTTACCTACGTCATTCCATCGGTTTTTGATCTACACTGAAAAGTCGATAAATCTGCTAAGAGCCATTCTGTACTTCTTGCAGTATTTTCGGTTATCACTTCTTCTACGTCATTGTTTTAGCGCCTTCTACAGTACTTCTTATTTATGGCAGTAATTTTGTCGCCATCAACATGTTTCTAGCATGTGGTGCAATTGCACAAACTGACCTCTGAAATGAGGTCCGCTGCGTAAATTTGACAAAAAGCCGATGATGTTCTACCACGTCGCGCTAAAGCTGCGTATCATATTATCACAACTGTGCTCTTTTCTTCATATGACCCGATCAAAACTTCTCTGAAATGTGTTTGTAACGGGCTTCTCAGGCTAGGTAGGCTAGCTACGCATAACTATACTTCTATTCAAACCTGAGCGCAGCCGATGTTCCTAAAGAAGACATTAGAACTCCAAATTGGGTCATGATTGTATCCCAAGTGCGTGGGCTAGATCATTACCCTATTATCTACGGTATAACAAAAAATTTTAAATTGCCAGTAGTAATAGCATCTGATAAAAACTAGCAATGAGCACAAGAATTTTAATGCTTTCTATACATTTCTATGCTACCCGGTTTCGAAGCTAACTATACCGGTAGTGCAGCTTCCTTGGGCAACCCTCGTCATAAATCCTAAGGAAGCTTCAAGATGTCTGAAACACCGGATGAACAGCCCAACGCTATATTTTTGCGACTGAAAATAGCCCAGTATGATTTGGCAGCCAAGCTTTCTAGCATAAACATTAGACGCTGAATTATTAGCAGTCGTACACGTCATCAGACTCGAATTTCGTCAGTCAATTTTGCAATTTATCCAAATAATCTAAAATAGTTCAAAATTAATGTTTTTGAAAGGCAAATCTTGTCAAATCATCATTTGCACAAATGTCCCCTTGATGTGATATCCAAGAAACAAAAGATTTTGCATCATGAAGGCAACAGGTCAAAAAATCACAAATTTGATTAGTGTAGGCGGCAAAGCCTGTTGTACTGTACACTCATTTCGGCAATTATCCCATTTGCAAGACTCATGGGACGGACTGAAAAAATTCCTTCGAAATTGCCTTGGGGCATGTTAAGAGATTCTTCTGAGAGATTGAGCGTCTCCACCTCCTCCCCCCCCCTCCTTCTCCCCTCCCCATCAAAAAATGCTTTACTAGGCTCCCTGATGCCAGCTTAATAGGAATTTCTCTGCTCATTTTCAGGAGTCAAATATTAGTCTAGCTGCTTTCTTCATTCTCCATGACGGAACTTTCGCAACTTCAATTTTTTTTCGCGATTTTTGCTTTCATCACTAATTCCAGACGGATTTTGTTTTGTTGACATTCTTCAGTTTGCGTGACAGCAGCAGTGAGTGTGTAATCCCTGGGGAAGGCACCAAGACTTCTGGAGATTGTTGCACGACGCTAAAATCCCTCGTTCACTTTCAAGATGGCTCTCGAGAAAAAAGACCAGTGTGGCTAAGCAGCTCTCACTTCAAATTCTTCTCTTTGCATCTCGCATGATATCTATTTTGAAGGGGATTTGTTTTTCTATAAAATTCATAACATTCCTCGTAGTGCCGTCAAAGCCTTGTCTTGAATAGAAAATTTGAATGCAAAATCTAAGCTCAAAATATCAAATGTATGCAGGACAATCAGTGAAAGGTCACGATTTTTCAATGATTTTGAATAAAATAAAATTTGAGAGTCCAAATTGTAAAATTGTGCTGCTTTCTGACATTCGCAAAGAAAATGGAAGATAAAAAAAATCTCACCTTACTCAGACTGAAGTATTTTTCTCTGGTTGCATCTGAGCGGTAAAGAATGAAAAATGAAGCTAGCGACATGATGTGAACTCCATTTATTTTTGGGCCTGCTGTGGGCCTTGGGTCTTTGAA